CTAGTGTCCCATTTGTAAACAAGGTTGACATTCAAGTTGAGAGAATTACTGTGCACAGCATCATACTGTAGTGCTGCAGCACTGCCAGTGTTGTGCATTGTCATTAGGGCTCAGGCCCTTCATTGTTTGGCGAGCAGTTGGAATTACAAGATGCATTGAAGAGGGTAGAATTAGACCCTCACATCTGTGTTGATCAGAACACTGCATTGTTTTTAATCAAGTGCATTGAAAGGAATGAATAGAACCCTAACAGGAAAATTAGAGACAAAACAAAAGACATCCCATGCTTTCACTTCAATGGCTCTCCTCCACATCACAGGCTGCTCGCTCGTCCTGCAACCTCTGATGTTTTTGTGTTCCTGTTGACAAGAAAGATGTTGACTCAGATGCACCATCTTTTTATCCAACCTTTTATCTTGACTGGTACATGAAAGGAGACAGAGGGGGCCAGGAGGAACAGCTAATAGGCATCTGCTGAGCTAGGTTAACTTGTAACCAGACTGTCTTCGCTACTTCATGTTTTCACTAAAGTGCTTGAGCTGCGTGGGCATTTCTGAGGAAAAGCATGTAGTTATTAGATCAGAAACGTGACAAAATCATAGCTGTGAAATTGGTTTTTGATGTAGCCTGCATATCTGATTTTGATCTTTTTGGGCTCTTTTGTGAAGGTAAATTTCCATCACTCACTCACTTCAGGCTTCAAGAACATGCAGTGTGCATTTTCGGCTATGTTTTATTGACAGCTGATTCTTCACTGTGCAAAGCCACTGTGGCAATAACATCCTACTTAATGTCTAATGGAATGGGCATGCATGCTTTATTAAGATACACCCTGTTTTATAATGTGTGTATTAATGGCTTGGAGCTCTTTGTAGGGTTGATCCGTCTCCGCTCCACCACGCTGCCCAAGCTTCAGGGCTTGGAGTATGTCCTGAATGTAACAGCCACAGATGACAACGCATCAGGTGGGCCGCACCCACTCACCTCCACTGCCCGAGTCATCGTTGGAGTTGATGATGTGAACAACAACAAACCAATTTTTGAAGAGGTTAGAATCTTGCTTAAAATGTAACACTTTGGGATGTCTTAGTTGCACAAATTTCAACCAGCTGTTTTTTTTTATTTTTGCTTCTATAGGAACATTTGTGCTGCAACCATTTAAAAAAATCCAGCAGTCACTACACAACAAATGTAAATTTTAGTTTGTTTTTGTGTTGTGCAAACTAGCTGTTCACTTTAACATACATATGACATAGAGACAGAGTGAAATTTTGTTCCAACAAGAATGTTTGAATGTAGTTTCCATATTGTCAACCTTCTTTAAATATTAATTTTTCTTGTTTTTTTTTTACAAGTCTTTTGCAATAAACTACTTTTACATACATTGTACTATTTTAACTTGTTCAAGTTCAAGTATCTTTATTATCCCCGAGGGGCAATTAGTTTCACTGTCAGTAGGTATAAAATATCCATACTACACAGGCCATTAAGGCATTAAATTAAAAATACAGACGTCATCAGTGTTCATTGAGAAACCTGATCACTAAAGGAATTAATTAGTTTTTCAGTCTGTTTGTTCTACATCTGGGCAGCAGATACCTGCATACAGATGGAAGCAACCTGAACTCACCATGGAGTGGATGATCAGGATCTGCCAGAATCTGCCTGGCCTTGTTCACTGACCTCACCTTGTGTAGGTCAGTGAGGTTCTGTAGAGCTATGCCAGCAGTTTTGCTGCACATCCTGACAATCCCCAAGAGTTTGTTCCTGTTTTTGCATGTCAAAAGTCCAAACCAACAGATGAAGGTGAAAGTGAAAAGAGACTCAATAAATTATTTATTGAATGATTATTATTATTTATTGAAATTAATAACTATTCATATCAAGTTCAAGTATCTTTATTGTCATTCGCATCCCATGTGGTACATGAGGTGGAACGAAATTGTGTACTCAAGGTCCCAGTTATACCCAAAAATAGCAAAAATATAAAGTATAAAAAGAAACAGTATACAAGGATTTAAGATAAACACCAAAATATACGCTAAACAATATGCTAAAAGATCTAAGATATACTCTAAACACTAATAATGTAAAATAATATGGTATATATTAAATAGCAGCCCGAACATGAGCCTGTAGTAAATAGATGGGTATGAATAAATACAAAGCACATCAGCATGAGATCAGCAGCATAGATAATCAGCAGCAATATTGTAAAACATTCAGCTTATTCAAGAGTTGGATGCCATGACTTTTTCTTTTGGTAAATTTGATAAATTTCTTAATATTACATTTTGTTTATTTCTTTTTTTTTTACCTTAGACATGCCCTGAGACGTTTTAAGTTTATTCAACCACATTCTACTCTTTGAAATTGGCTGCAGCAAATCTTTTCTTCTTACGATCATTTTGAAGCTTTAACTAGCCTTTTGCAACATTTAGGTTTTAGCTACCATTTTACTCCTTTTCGCTTTTACCTAGCCTTTTGCTACTTTTAGCTATCAGCTGCTGTTTAGTTTAGTTTAGCTTTGAATTAGTGCTCTGCTTCTTTTAGCTTTACCATCAAAATTGCAGCTTCTTTAACAAATTTCAGCGGTCATTCAGCACTCAGCTATCACACTGCATTTTGGCAGAAAATTAATCTTCTCTAGTTGTTTTTGTGAACATAAGTCGTTCATGATCAGAATAAGATGTTTTACTTTTCTAAAAACAATGGATTTGTTATTCATCTGAAAACATGTCTCCCACCATGTCAGGTAGCATCACTTTGTGAGAGACAGGCTGTGTTATATGTCATGATCCTTTTATTTTTTAACATTTTTTAAACATTTTTTTAACATTTTTCAACATTTATAGTCTCTCCTAACTCACAAATATTGTGTCTGTGGCTAAATAAGGTATAAAAGCAATGTTCTTCCACTGTAATTTTCTCATGTGCTGCTGTACTGTAATTCTACCATCCTCAGTCATTGTTCCTTGTTACTTCTTGTTCATGCTGCTGCAACATTTTCAAAGAAAGACAGAGATTATATGAATATGCCAATTGCAGAATGATAAAACGACCGCGCTTTATGTTAGCGATCATTATCATCCTGTTTTTCCTCATCAGTTTCATCCTCTCAGTGAACTCCAGTCTCTCTTCTTTGTAACTCCCCTTCTTCTCAGCAGATCTTATATTCTTGGCATTCTCATATCCCTGCCCTTTATCTCTCTGTCTGTTTTCCCAGGAGTTCCGATTAGCCTGCACACCCGCTCTATCTTTAGGCACTCCACTGGGATTTCAATTATTTTATGAATAAAAGTGCAATATCATCACAACATTCTACACCTGTTTAATGAACTTCCTTCTTAATGAGGAATGACTTGACACTCTGTGGTTGTGCAGTGCTGAAACTCCTGACGTCTGCTGGGCAGTCTGGGAAGGCTTTATACTTTTGTAAATATCAAGGCACAGCTCAGAACCTCAGGGTCTGACTTGCTGCTTTATATTACGTGATTTTTGTGAACAACTACCTAAAAGTTATACACTCTGCACCATCCTGTTACGTGAACTTGTGCATTATTTCTCCTCCTTGTGCTTCTTGATCCATCTCTGTCTCACTCGTGCTCCACTTCACTGATTTATTGTTTTTTTTTCTTTTCATGGTCATTTTGTTGAAAAAGTAGCTTGCATATTTATTAAACTGCAAAAATGAAAGACTCCAGCGAGATGTTCTTAATCTGGGGCATATATTCATCGGGGGAATGGATTGTATTATTTGCTAAAACAAATCTAATAGCTGTTTTCCCTTTAAAAGAAATCACTGCACGTGTTTTCATTTTCATATGTAGTGGGTTACTGAGTCTGTAACTGTTGCATTGCGCTGATATACTCTACGTCCCTGTGTAGTGTGTGTTCTGACCTTCAACTTAATGAATTTATTTCCTTTGATCCGTGTTTTCTCATTATTGTAACACATTTAGACAATGCATGTAAAGATTCATGCCTTGTATTTATTTGTCTTTTCATTTTTGTGCCCCTTCTTTATCTCAGTGCCAGCAGTATCGTGAGCAGGCTTCAGTGCTGGAGAACCAGCCGGCGGGGACTTTTGTGTTGCAAGTGCATGCGGTGGATGCAGATGAGGGAGCAAATGGAAAAGTCAAATATGGCCTAATGCACAGAGACAGCGCCATGCCCGCCTTCAGAATCCATCCAGATTCAGGTAGAGAAGTCACAGATTGTTAGGGGCAATATAAGACTCAATTATACATAAAACACAGGGTCTTCTGTAGAGGGACTGGGCTGTACATTAATGGTAGTTGACATTTCTGGTAAGTATTTTAATACAAAATGTTACACAAGAGGAGATATAGATTTGAGATAGAATGTTCACAGTGGTCACATTAAACCAGAAATTCACAAGAATAAAGGCCAAAATCTTTAAACTTTACTACAATACATTAAAACTAAAAAGCCTCCAGTATAGGAAAATTATTGTAAATAAAGGGAAATGCAAAGAAAGAAGCTGTTCTGAAATCTTAATATGTTGTTCTGTCAGTCATTTTTTTTTCAAGCTCTAGCTTCTTCATCTCAAGATTTAATAGCAAAGTCACTGCACTTCAAAGGAATGCACACATTGCTCTGAATAAAATTATAATTGTTTACTTGTCTTCATTTATGGATTGATGGATGAATGGACTTAGTTGGGAGAATTGGAAAATTGCTGAATGGATGAATGAATTTATAATCAGTCATGGGTGTCTGTTTGGCGAGGGTTGATGAAGAAGCTTGACGATGGTTCTGACTTCTTGCAGGAGTGATCGTAGCAGCCAGGCGCTTTGACAGGGAACGTCAAAGAGAGTACTCAATTACAGTAACGGCCACTGATTGGGCTGAGGAGCCCCTCATCGGTATCTGTCAGCTCACTGTCCAGATACTGGATCAGAATGATAACAGCCCCAAGTTTGAGAATTTGCGCTATGAGTGTAAGTATTGCACGCATATTTATCTATCAAGTAAAACTGATAGCAAAGCACAGGCAAAGACACCAAACCAAATTGTAAACAAAGAAAAAATTACATATGAAGGGTATTTCACCATGTTTTCATTTGATTTAATTGATTCGTTTAACTTAAAAACTTCAAATTAGGCTTTAGACTTGTTTATACTTAAAGAGAGAGGATATTTATTGCTTTACTGTTGCGAAGTGTATTCTTTTTTGCTCATCATTTCTTACTAAAACATCTGTGTTTACTAAAACGGAGGTTAAAAACATCGTTGTATCAAAGTTCATGCTCAATAATCCAGGTAAAAAATCCACCAAAGTTCTGTCAGGACATCTGGACGGTTTCTTTTTTTGTTGAAAGGTTTCATCTTTTATCTAAAGGACTTCATCGGTCCGAGGATCTACAACAAAAGTCCCATAAGTGGATTACTCACTTAGTGGGTTAACCATTTTTGTGGTGATAAGATGGTTTCTGGAGTCCGCCCTCTCCCCCATCGACTCAGCCCACTATGTGAGTAAGCCACTTATGGGACTGAGTTTGTTGTGACTCCTCAAACTGATGAAGTCCTTTGGATGAAGGACGAAACATTTCAACAACAACAAAAAAAGAAACCATCCAGATGACCTGACTTAACTTTGGTTAATTTTTTACCTGGATTATTGAACATGAACTTTGATGTTTTGAACCACTTTGGTCAAGGCTGCCTCAGAGGAGTAGACGGGGGAGAGCGCAGACCCCAGAAAACATCTTATCCCCATAAAACTGGTTGACCATGTGAGTAAGTCACTTATGGGACTGAGTTTATTGTGGCTTCTTGGACTGATGAAGTCTTTTGGATGAAAGACGAAACGTCTCAACAAAAAAGAAACCGACTGAACTTTGGATAGTTGTATATACATTTTTGAATACTTTAAACCTATTTCAGGCAATTTAGGGGCTGAGTCATTGACATGAGCTTCACATAAACCATTAATTTTTTTTAACCCTACATTAGGCTTTATAAAATTATACTCACTCTTTCCAAGCAGTAAACAGAGTATTAGTCCTTGTTGAGACCAAGAATTGCAAATGTAACAATGGTTTCATGATTATCAGTGGTTATGTCACAATGACCCAGAGAAAAACTACTTGCAGCCCAAATGTCCACCATTGTTATAATAACACATTCATCTGTGAAGAGGGCTGTTGTACAATTTTGAGCCTTAGAGAAAACTAGAGAAATATAAGGGTTATTATGCTCCTCTGAAAGAAAGATCCAGATCGTCAGACTGTAAAAGTGATATTTTACCAAATTTGTACCAAAAAAAAAAGTCCCCATTCTTGAGTCCTTTGCTATTTAATGAAGTAAATAACTCATTTTATCCTCTGTAGACTTCTTGAGAGAAGACACTTTGGTTGGTACCAGTTTCCTCCGTGTGGCGGCTCATGATGACGACTTTGGCACTAATGCTGCCATCACTTACTCCATGTCTCTGGAGCAGCCCGAGTACCTTCGGGTCAACCCTGTCACTGGATGGGTCTATGTTAACCAACCCATATCTCAGGTTAGTCAGCAGTTATTAACAGACTCTTTGTCAGTCAGCGCAAACACACACACACACAAACACTCTCCAGTAGCACCAGACTGTAGCCTGTGGGTCTGTGTCAACAAAGTTAATGAACAAGCCACATCAAAGTGCCTCCATCTGCAACTACCAATCTGCATTTTTCCTGCTCCCAGAGGTGCTGCATGTGGGGAATACCACAAATAAAAAAGATGGAAGAAAACAGATTTGAGCTAAACAAAGATTTATGATGCCTTTTAACATTCTAAAATTCCTCTGGTTATATTTGATTGTTACTATACAATTCTGCTACAAAAGACTATAATTTAAAATAGCATAATGACCCTCTAGCCAGTAGATGATGGCTACTACAATACATGGCTCACATTTTTCAAAAGCCTGTTGTTACACACAGCAGTCTTTCCCCTTTCAGATTATTCTGCTTTGGTGTTTTGTATTTCACTGTTATCACCTGCAGCCAACGTGATAATGTTTTTGTCCCTGTCTGTGTGTGTGTGTGCATGTGTGCTCTCAGTGTTAACAAAATTTAAATAATTAAATAACCTTATGAATTACTACTATTATCTATTTGAAATGATTGTGTCTGCCTGATAACCAAATATCTCACGAACAACTCAATGGGTTTTGATGAGACTCAAAGAAATCAATCATTGAATATACTTCTACAACTGATCAACTTTTGAAGTCAACCCAAAAAAAGTTTAAAAAAAAAAAACAATAAAAGGACTTATATTCTGTAGTTGAAGACATTCCACTTCCCATAAGTGAGGATTTCTTAGTTCAAAGAGTTTGGGGAATGTGGGGTGCTAAGCTTTTTTAAACAGCATTGTAGGTTTAAAAAGTAGAAATATGAGATCTCCTCTGGTTGAAGTGTTTTTTTTTTTTTTTTTTTTTTAATACTTATGCTTGACATGTTGGTGCACAGCTGAGTCTTGTTCTGAGGAGCTGGCTCTCCTGTGATGAGCCATGTGTCTGTGGGGAGGCCGTTTAGTTTCTCCATGGCTCAGCACAGGAGAGCCAGCTCTTCAGGACAACCTCTCCACAGACACACTACATTTACTGTGTCCTGTTAGAGGTGTTGAACTCAGTTACCAAAATGAGCCAAAATTCAGTAATGACAGAATGATCCAACCATCTTTCTGCTTTCAAAGTTAGCCAGCTGGCAAGGGAAGTCTATACTAAATGATACAGTTATCTTTTTTTAATAAAGAAAAAAAAATTGAACAGATACAATTTTTTACATTTAAATTATCATCTTGAAGGATTAGATTTGGCTCGCGGCTCTTGAGTTTGACATGTGTAAACCATTGTGGAGTCAACCCAAATCAGGATGGCTGCCACAAACACTTACTGATATTCAGCTAAAATCTGGAGTGGTAGTTGCTGATGGTCGCCCCCTACACAAACTTTAAGCCCCCTACATTGAACATATTTGCTTCAAACCTTGAGATTGACTGCCTGTTAGCAAAATATCTCAAGTATCACTGGTACACTTTTAGAGAAGCTCTCTAAACACAATCATTGAATGTACATCTACAACTTGTTAACTCAAATCAAGATAGATGTCATAGCTGCCATAGTTTAGCAACACAAAATCAACTATAATTCAGTCAATTTGACTAATATTGAACTAGAACCTGGTGTGTTAGTAACTGAGACTCGTTCTCAACTAATTCTATGAGTACACATCTCACAAGTTCTCATCATATTGCTGGAGAATGGGTATTTTATCGTTTGCAGGGTTTGACCAAAACAGCTATACCAGGGGTGCCCAATGTGTCGATCGCGATCTACCAGTCAATCGCAAAGGCATTATGGGTAGATTGCATGGCATAAAAAAAATAGATGCCAGCCTATCATCCATCCTCATTATGAAATGTGTCACTTGATTGACATACAGGGCAGTCAGTCACAGCCCTCATTCTCTCAAACCATGTCTCAGAGTGGATATTTTCAGGGGAAATATTTATATGTATCCATATTTACTCCACCCCATGAAATTTGCCATGTGTGAAGTCGCACATGTGCACTACAGGTAGCTGCAGTCAAAAGTAAATCGCACATGTGCACTACAGGGAGCTGCAGTCAAAAGTTTTTCTGCACTAACAACACTTATAATGAATGAGAGCAGAGTGTTTTTTTGTGTGTTACTCATCCTTTTTCAGCATGAAGGAGCAAAATTAATAAAATCCAGTTCCAAAGAGAAGTTAGTGTATTCACCAGTTTGGACGAAACTGTGATCATGCAGACCCCGCATGCACAATGAATGCAGCTGAGTCATCAGGGTTGCCAAATAAATTTAAAATGTCTTAGTTACTCCCTTCCTTTTCTGTGCACATTTTCAGCAAACACAACACACACCTCATCTTAGAATATCTTTACTCAGCACATATGACAGTATAGGACAAAATAGTAACAGTTTAAAGCGACAGTACTATAGTTCATAATTTATTATCTGGCAACTCGACTGACATGGAAAATACAGCGTTTTTTGTGTAAACCTGCTCTTTTTTTGTTTACTACCCCCAATAAACATTGATAAAACACTAAAATTTCCAGAGGTTGTTCTTGTGTAAACGGCACTTTATAGTAAGTAGATCACTTTGACTTGGTCATTTTAAAAGTAGCTCGCATGTTTAAAAAATCTTTGCACCCCTGAGCTATATACTGTAACTCCAACTTTTCTCAGCATGAGAGACTTTTTATTTAAATGTTTGGCATGAAAGGGAGTGGGAGAAATGCATTCCTTCAAGTAATGTTAGGACTTTAATTTTATTTTATAATCATCTTACTTTACGTCAGTAAATCTTACAGCATTTTGTTTTGCTTCTATATTAGTATTTTCAGTATAAAGGCTGTGATATTGCCCTTCCCTCCCTATTGTTTGTCCACCAACGTGTGAACACAGCTCTGTCGGGTCAGTGATGCAACACATTCTGTTTAAATTTTTATAAGTATATTGTTGACTTTTTATGGCCTATCACCACTCTTCTTGTTCTTTGTTCTTCAGGTATTCAAACAGTTTTTTTTTTGGTACGCTCTTACTTTTGGAGTGTGCGGTTGTTTATTATTTATCATACTTTTCAGTGCAATAGTATCAGAAGCCCAGGACAATGTTGATTTTATGAATTCACCACTACCATCATCCATCCATTATCTTTACCCACTTCTTTCTTTTCGGTTTGTGGGGGTCACCAGTGCACATTTCCAGCTGCACAGAGAGAACAAACCACCTGAAGGGTCCCCAGCTGGGATTCGATCCTGTGACCTTCTCGCTGAGAGGCAGCAGCTCTACCAACTGAGCCACAGCGTCATGCAAAATTTAAAGATTTAAGCCCAAAAACCTCACCAACCAGTGGTGCTGCATTATTTAGGAGTATTTCAGAAGCTATTTGAATCATCCTATCTTTGTGCTGCTGATAAATTATAAAATCATTTCATTAAAAGTTGAATGTTGAGGCTTAACTGAGACAACGCTCTGTTTTGACTTTCTCAACAGTGTATGGTTACAATTTTATCAGAATTAGAACTAGAATTTCACACACTTAAACATAAAGCCACAGTTCCCAGTCTAGTATTTCCATGGAATGCGGGTGACATAGGCCACTAAACAAAGGCAGATTTTCTTTATGTGCTACTGTAAAAGGAGCCAGAGCCCGGCTCACAAAGTGTCAGAATGTTGTACAGTAGCTACAGCTCCACAGCAAATTAACTGGAAAGGAAAGGAAAAGGTTGGCGTGACTGAATCCAAAGCACTTCATGAATATGTTCCGAGTGAGATAAAAACTATTACTGCAAATTTAATCCTGAACCTTTGTTGCCAAAGCCGGGCAGACATTCATTTAGTTTTTAAAAAGGAGCAGCTCCTGGGTCCACAGTGAAAAGCACAGATTGCAATCTTTGTTCTGTGGTTTTAAGGTTTGCAAGAGTTGTTCACAAATACTAATTGAGCCATCCCAGAAATAGTAAATGTAAGTTTGAAATTAAAGGAGATCCCTTTAAGCACATTAATTTGATATTTGTACTGAAAGTATAATGCATGTAATGACTGAACGTGACTGCTGAGTTATTATTTAGATTTTTTATTAATACTATCAGAGTGGTACAAATACACAATGTCATGGTGGATAGAATGACATGTTTGTATAAAGAAGTATCCATTGAATTTCTTCTCCTAGTTTGAATAAAACGTCAATGGTTCACATTGTTAAATTTACACATGCGCTCTCAAACACTCAAATGACTTGTGGATTTTGTTTTCTGAAAAAAGTTCAACACAGTTTAAGTCAAATATAACTTTATTTTTAACTGATTTAAGAAAACGAGTAACATATTTGTGAGACAATAAGGCGCACCGGATCAGAAGGTACATTAAGTGAAACAAAATAGTCAGATAAGTCAAACTTTATTCAACTCATTCACAATAACCACATAAAATTGGTTCAAGGTAAATAAGCACAACCAGAATAAACACATACCTGATTATAAGGCTCACTGTTGATTTTTAAGAAAGTTAAAGGATTTTAAGTGCACCCTATAGTCCGAAAAATACGGTAATTCTGTGACCTGAATGATAAATTAAAAACTGTTTAAAGGGTCATGCATGCTTCTATTTGAGCAGTTTTTGCCCTAAAATGTTTATTTTCACTGTAAATTGCATGACATTGCACCAGTTTTTTGAGGAATTATAGAATTGTTGAATTGGCTTACGCACAATTTTTATCTGACACCTGCACTCAAATGTTTAAAAAGTACAATAACGAAGTCAATTTAAACATACAAGTCTATTCATGAAGTTCTTATTGTAGCGCACAGTGAATATTCAAGTTTCCTCACAGCTACTGCTGCAACGCTAATGTTTGAACTCCACTTAAGAAAATGCTGCCCTCGTAGAAAATAAAATAAAATAAACGTTTTCTTATTTTAGGATGATGGTCTGACATTTTCAAAAAGTAGAAGTGTTTATTCCAATGCAACAAAAACATAAATATGTAATCAGTTACAATTACCCAATCAGTTGTAATCACACGCAGAGATCTGATTTATTGAATTTAAAGTCAGTATTTCTTAAAGTTATTCCAGTCACAAACTCCAGGAAGTGAGGACTAAGTTATGAGTAAGACCAAACGGATATAAAAGTTTTAATATTTTAAGAGTAACACTACTGTGGGTGATTCTACTGCCAGCAGAGTAATTGGTGTCACTTGAGAGTATTAGAATTGGTCAAAAGGGAGGAAATTTGACCAAAGGCTTAGACTTTCCAAGCAAGCAGGCTTAAACTTTGTATCAGGTTTGTCAGAGAATCAATGATCAATTAAAAATGTGTTCCTCAATGTGAAATAGCATGGAATTGGGATTTTGACACTTTGGGGAAATCTGGTGCATAAAGAGCGAGCTCAGAAAGGATGTGTGCAGATCCCAGGTTGCGCTGCATGAGAAACATAATGCCACCGTGACAACATAAATCACGTGGATTTGGGATTATAATTTAACGCAGTCTGATGCTACATTCAAAAAGGGGCATTAAACTGAGGACTACTCCAGCTGAGCAGAACAGTTGTCAGGTTCTTCAAGGATGAGCTCATCTCAGTTGGACAGAAAGACAGTGGACCTACGTCCAATGAGTCTTAACAAGTATTAACTTTTTTCAACTGTGCAGATGTCTTGATGCACAAATAAAGTTAAATATGTTCCTGATGAAGTTGCAACAGCATTTATGTATCACAATTGATATTTTTACCTTGTTGACTAAATCAGTGGTTCTCAAACTGGGATCCCTAGATCCCTGGGGGTTCGCGAGCTGGTGCTTGGGGGTCCGCAAACAACAGAAAAAATAAAATTTTACAAGCACGTAAATGCTCAACAGCCTGTTAAAATACACCAACATGCAGGAAATCACATTTACTGTACTTTTATCAAACTTTTCTGGGAGAGGACCCCCTGATCTCCCCTCTCACTGGTTTGCCCACTATTTGTGTTCCGGCATTGATCAGTTTACAAATGAATCCCTGTTACTTGGTATGACTACTGCTGTTATGATTCTATTCAGTTATCTGTAATAATTTGAAGAAGTGGTAATGGGGGCCGAGATGGAGGCAGGGCGGCCGACCTGGGACCTGAAAGTCCCAGGTTTGATCACCAGCCATTCCCACATGTCGTGGTGTCTCTGAGCAACACACTGAATCCCTAGTTGCTCCCCAGGTGCATACATAGCTGCCTACTGCCCCACCTGGGTGCTTCCCAGGTGTGATGGGCCAAATGCAGAGAACTCAGCCTCCCCACCATTACAGACATCCACACCTCCAGATGCAGGAAGAGGCCATCTGCATCATGAAGGACCCCACTCACCCAGCACACACACTTTTTGCCCCACTCTCCTCAGGAAGGAGGTTGAAGAACATTAAGTGTAGAACCACTAGACTGAGGAACAGCTTCTACCCTGAGGCTGTTAGACTCATGAATCTCTAACCAGAATAATCACTGTGAAAAATCACATCATGTTGCTGCTGATCTGTTTCATGTTGCTGCTGATCTGTTTGATGTTAATGTGTTCATTCATGCTCATCTGCTCACACAGACTCATGTACGTGCTGCTGTTTGGCATATTGTTTTTATTGTTTTTATACTAGTAGTGCTTAGTGTATTTTTAGTTAACACTTTTCTTAGTTCATATCTTAGAGCTTATTACTTATTACTGAACCTGTGTACACAATTTTGTTCCACCTCATGTACCTCATGTGATGCGACTGACAATAAAGAACATTGAATCCTTGAACTAATCTCTCCATTATATGGGAACATACAATGATGACAACACATAGCACTTTACAGTACATTTATTATGCTCGTTATGTGAATGTGTAAAGTTTTAAAGTGTTTTTTGATACTGTTCATTTTCTCAAAACTGTAATTTTTGGAAGTTGAAATTAAAATTGTGTTAATTAAGTGTGTCTTGAATGAAAAATACCCCATGTTTAAATGTATCAAAATTGTATTAGCACTATTAAAGAACAAGTCTTAAGTATTTATGTTACACAAATATTTCCATTGCATTAAAGAGACAAATTGAATAAAATTATTTAGTAAACATGAGGGTTGTGAGGGGTCCATGAACACAAAAAGTTTAAGAACCCCTAGACTAAATAATTTATCTGTGTTTTTCTTTTACTTTTGTTCACAGAGGACTTATATCACGCGGGACATTACAGCAACAGATGGAGGAAATCGCAGCACTTCTGTGGAGCTGGCAGTCACCATCACTAATGTGAAGAACCAGCCTCCACAGTGGGAAAAACAAAGCTACAACGTTGTCATACCAGAGAACTCTGCCAGGGACACACCCATAGTGGTACGACTGCTTGCTAAACTGTTATTGACTGGTACCATGCTGCTGTGCCTGATTTCCCTACTATTTGTAGTTGTTGTAAATGGATCAGTGGTTGTTTGCTTGCTGCTGAGTTTAGTGCAGAATATGAGGGTTATTTATACCTGGTCTTCTCCCAGCGTTCAAAACGCACTTCGAACATCGGTTCGTGCAGGAAAATGTGCAAATGTGTTAAAGTTTGATGCTGTAGGAGAAAGCTGACAAAGAATCTCGTGCTAAGCAAGTTTCACAACTTCAGGCAAATTAACTTTGTTCAAAAGGTTTTAGACGTGAAAAGTATGAAGGCATAAACCTGAGTGGTTATAAAAGCAGTTCTTTAAATCACTTTGAAAGAAGAGGTTACTTTAGGACAGAGAAGGCCAAGCTTTTTTTGCTGGATTCATCAGAAAATAAAATAAATGTGATTAAAATGTGATACAGGACTACAAACCACAAATACAATCAAATCCAGTTCTTGTGGATCACATGTAAAAACATTTTTTCCTGAGGGACTTTAAAGAAATCAATTTGGTAAAATGTGTTATGTACTTTCAATTCATGATTGCTGAGATCCTATTTTATGTCCAAGATGACTTTAGAGAAAAAACAACTCAAAAAAGGCTTTGTCCAAAGTTTGTAAAGCAAAAAAAGCCTAGCAGTCATCCTAAAGCTCGTCAGTTAACAAATTGCATCTCATTTGTTTTGCCAGATTAACTCTTTTACCAGCTTTTATGCTAAGCTAAGCTAATCGCCTCCGAGCTTTCGCTCACACTGAGATGACAGCGCTGTCGTTTGACTTCCGGCAGGAAGGCAAAAAAGCGCATTTACCAAAAATGTAATACTATTCCTTTAAGCACAGAATAATAACAGGTTTTAGTAGCTGAAAGCAGCTGAGTGTGAAACTATAACCCAGAAACAATTATCATGGCTGGCACAAGACTCAAAGCAGGAGAAATCCGCTAGTCTGACTTTAAAATGTAAAAAACACAACAAATATCACCTCAAGGTTTCTCATAATCATTTAATATTTTATTCATTTTATGTACAGAAATTTTAATAACACTGTCAAGACACACCAATCACACTTTTAACAAAATATATGCTCTAACTTTATTAAATAAATTTGTTGGAGTGTTTTTATTATAAGGCAAATATGAGAAACAAATACAATAACTATATCAAAAGATGTATGCCAGCCAATGAGGCACCTGGAGGGTTGATTGTAGTTTATATAGAGTGAATTTATTAATCGTACACATTTTATGAAAAATATTAATAAATATTCAACCATTAAAATGAACCTTTAAGAACAACAAAAAATAAATGTCTGGTAAAAACTAACATGACTACCTTTTCATCAGCTTGAGCACTCTAGTGCCCATAAACATATTTTTTTTGTCAAATTACTTTTCAAACACTTTATGTATACTGTGCTTATTTAATAGATCTACCATGTTAAATAATATTGCTCATTAGGGAAAACAGAATGTATTATCTGTGTTTCACAATGAGGGTTCTGTAACATGTACAAATATATATTATGTATTGAAGCCAATTTACTAAAGACAAAATAGAAGAAGAGTTATTATATTAAATTCACAATGTTTTATTCCTCAAAGTAATGAATAAACTGAGCTGGTCACGTCAATAAAACAAAGTAGTTTTGTCTCATAGATGTCAAAATTAAGACACCAATAAAGTGTTTTAATGTTATTAGATTAAGAAAATATTCTACTGGCACTCATAAATGTTAAAAGTGGTTAGAGTTTAATGCATAAGGTGCAAATGGCTGAAGTATACATGACTTCATCTTTCCAGTAAATTTTAGAATAATATGTCTAGACAATAAAACTGATAAAAGTCTTTAGTGTAAAATCTCCAAAGATGGTGTCTAAATGTTCAACAGCCCAAACAGTCTCACATCACTTTGCTTGAACATAGTTTTCAGATGTAAATGATTGTGATGTAATAGGCAGGTGGACTCGTAAATTCATAAAGGTAGACATGTTTAAATTATTAATATTCCGATGTTAAGTGTCTACATGAGCCTCACATTCTAAAATCCCTGTTTTCTAAATGTTCAGAATATCAGAAGAAGAAAAAGCTGCACAGTTGTTGATTCAGCTTTTGTTTTAGTTGATGAAAAAAGTATTTAACACTGGTGGATGCCAACAGTCTTATTAAGTTAATAGAGGTTAATTATTATTCTAACATTTATTGGGAGATAATTTATTTATTTTTTGTGTCAGCAGCAATGGTGATCTTAGTATTTGTTGTAACTGTCATCTGAAGAAAACTAAAGTCTCCAAACAGTATAGAGTGAACAATGTCTGGTGAACAAGACTGTGGTCAGTGACAGGACATGGAGAACTGATTCTGAATCTAATGATACAATCTGTGGTGTTAATGTCTTTTTGTTGGGTTCCAGTTGATGACTTTACTTCTGTAGACGTGATATGGTGTCCTCCGCTGTCTTCCTTTAAAGACACTTCCTGATTCTTCACTTGCCTGAAGTTATTGCATGAAGTTAACTCTATTCTCTATCAACTCTATGTCAACCCCTTTTGGTGCTCCTATTTCACATCTGTAAAATGTGGTTAGATGTTTTATGACGACTCTATATTGTAGAATTGTTAAAGTTTCAACAACTTATACTGCAAAATTACTTAGCAACCACTGGGGTATTTAATGAACAGGCATAAGATTGCTATTGATTTTCTCTGTAAACAAGAAAATAAGCACAGTTTCCAAACAAATTCTTTAAATCAAGAACATGATACGGTTTCACTCTGATTGAGACCATCAGCAAAATAGACTTAAACTTCAAGAACTGATTCTTGTTATTTTTTTTAATCTTTGCCTAGATTGCATTTGCTTATATTCTAATGTAGCATCCTTCGCTAATGATAACATAATTTTAAACAAAACAATAACAATATGGTTATCCCCTCAGACAATCAAGGCAACCTCTCAGCTGGGTGATCCAAGAGTCACCTACAACCTTGAGGATGGGCTGGTTCCTGAAACCAACATGCCAGTTCGTTTCTACCTGTCCCCAAACCGTGAAGACGGCTCAGCGTCCATCCTGGTGTCAGAGCCGCTGGACTACGAGACCACTCCTTTCTTCTCGCTCCGGGTCCGGGCACAGAATGTGGCTGCGGTGCCTCTCGCTGCTTTCACAAGAGTATACGTTAATATCACAGGTATATTTTGTAATTGTTTTGTTTACAGACATGTGACACAAATTAATTAGCATAACTCTATAATTAGATGATTACTATACTCTGAAGAAAACTTTTTAAAAGTATATACTCACTTTGGGTCTTGTATGATTAGTTTTCTGGTAATTAATGTCAAAATGTTTTCATTAATTATTTACGAAAGTTTAGACATCAGATACATACTTATATTTAGTTATGTTTATACCTGTCTTTTTTTTGTGCTGTATCTTAACTTAAAAACTAATCTATTAGTATCTGTTTTGACAAGCACATCAGTCTTCTTAAAGCATCCCTTGATAAACTAATTATCTTTTAGCTGCTGCTTGAAATGGAAAATTCTTGTCTAAACTGTGGAGTTTTTATTTCCTTTAAACAATCAAACTTTCATCGATTCCACTGTTATAGAAGCGTATATTCTAAATGAGTCAATAAGACATTAACTTCGCTATTTTGCAATTCGATCTCTCTTTTGTCTCGAGATGTCAACGACAATGTGCCATTTTTCACATCCTCAATCTACGAGGCCTCGGTAACAGAAGGGGCCCAGATTGGGACTTCAGTTCTCCAAGTGTCTGCCCATGACAAAGACCTGGGACTTAATGGAGAGGTTTGTGTTGATCTGTTTGTGTTCATGTTGTAGAAGAAAAAATAAGAAGAACAAGGAAATGACAAGATTTCAGAGAAATCCCTTCCACTAAGTCTCCATTGTGCAGTTTTCTTGTTAAACCATCCGTGTCTCACCAGAGGGAGCATTATGTAACACCGCATCACATCAAAATCCCTGGTGTGGGAGTTTTTGTTCCAGCCTTGTCAAAGAATTGTCAAGGTAGTCTTGAGAGCTGCTGCTATAAGCTTTCTGAATGATTGCGACAATATTGGTGGAGCAGAATGTATTGATTTGGTTTAATGAAGAAGTAGACATCTCACACATTCACATTCAGTTCCTTTAATTTCTAGTGGTTTTGCTGCTTGAATATATGCCATATAGTTTAATTTTAAAATGACCTTTGTTCCACAGATCGCTTACTCTCTGCTTAGCGACAGCAGTGGTGACCACAATTTCTTTCGAATCGACCCAAAAGATGGGATTATCTCCACAGAGGCTGTGTTTGACCGGGAGGCCCGTAGCTCCTACCTGCTGGAAGTTCAGTCAGAAGACGGCCAAGAATCAGCACGACCTGGCAAAAACAAGCAGCCCAACACTGGTTAGAAACTGGATGGATGAATGGATGGATGGATGAGATGGGATGGGATGAGATGGGATGGATGGGTTAGATTTATTTATCTTCCACTACTGAAAGGATTGGATGTACATTTACAACTGATTACCTTTGGAATGAACTAAATGACCTTCAAAACACAAAGTGGCTTTAATCAGTTTAACATATTTTGACTCAAAATTCTGGCCAATAACAGATTGTGCAAAATATTTAATTAAAATTTCACCATTTGTAGTCAACTCTGACTGTTGAATTTTTTCCCTCATGAACCTTTAGACAAATAAAAACAAAAAAAAATTCCAGGAAATTACCAGTTGACAGTATTCCCTCGTTTATTGCGGGTGTAAAGCCCCCAGTATACTGCCGCGTACGTACGTACGCAGAGGTACAAGTGTACCCCCCAGGGCATGTCCGTGCAAAGCTCCAATTTTTACGACCGCATACGCGTACGCGGTGTCGCACAATAAACTGCCCAGTGACGGACTGTTTTATATGCGACACCAATGTATTAAATTCCCCTTCTTCATCTCTGATCTTGCCTTTTCTTTTGTTTTTTTTTGCCAAGAGGCAAGTGATCTCTTCCTCCTCCACCTTATGTCGAAGCAAATTCCTAGTTTGTGAACCTCGTTCATTGACATGGCAATAATAAACTGATTCTGATTCTGATTCTGATGCAATGACTTAAATGGTGAGAAATGAAGGAATTTGTCATGAACGAATTAAACTCAGGTCCAGCGTGGCTGCGGGAGGGTCTGGAGATTGCCTGGTGGGCTGGTCTGATGTGTGGGCTGTAGAGCCAGCGCTCCATGTTTTTTTATTTTTTTTTAGATCTTTTTTATTAACAACATATAAACACAGAACATCACTGTGGCTGAGGCTGCCAGCGCTCGCTTTTTTCTTTTTTCCGACCTGTCAATCAATCCAGTAGGCGTGTCAGCAAATGACCAATCGGCGACCTCAATTTGTCCCGAAGGTTAACTCCCCTTGTCTGTGAAGCTGCTCTGCAGCTGCTCGGGGTGTACGCTGGAGTATGAAGTCTGAACCCTCTGAGTACAGTACACGCGTACGTAAGCGGGAATGGATGTACGCGGCAGTATACTGGAGGCTTAAGGTTCCGACAGCCCCTCCCCTGCAGTAAATGAAATTCCACAAAGTAGCGA